GTAACAATGAATAAAACATAGTAACATATAAGCTGAAGAAAGTATTGCAGAAGTCTTAGCTGTGCTTTAAATAGGCAGAATTAGGTATATCTGTATCAGTGCCATATTACACCGAGGGAGCACATGATGCAACACTGCAGCCATCAAGGGCGGCTTTACAGTAGAATCTAAGCTCTTAGAGCCTGCCTAATTTCATCATAAATACTTAGGTGTGACCTTCAAAACCTGTTTTGAGTGCTCTCCCAGCCCTGCGGTAGCCCTTTTCCCTGCAGAGCTGCCTTTTTAATACAAAATGCTCCTTACGGCTTCCCTAGTTCTGCGTTACGGAGGTTTGACAATGCCTGCCCTAGTAGTTCAACCTGTGCTGCAGCATCCCTGAGATATTCCCGAATCATCTGACTGGAAAAGCAGAGGGAGGGCATGCCTGACATCCAACATGAGGGCTCTCCTTAAATCACACGGTAGTTCAGTGATAGCAGACTCAGTTCTGATGTGAAACACATTTTGTTCCCTTGTCTGCTGTAGGGAAGTTGATCTTACGGCTAATATTCAGTGGACCAGGAGTCACAGCCCTCTTGCATGACTAAGCGATAGTCTCTCCATTCTGTTCTCCCACACCTTTCACAGAAGGAACAAAAAATGTTCAGCCCAATACTTGCTGTTGCTTGCACTGTTAGCATGGATTGACAAAATCTTTCTTTTGGAAAAAAAGCAGGTTGTCATGTGAGGAATCCTTCTGGGTTTCTGTAAGACGGAAATAAATCCACTAGTGCGTAACTACAGTAAGATATTTTGGGCAGGATTTAGAGTACATTCCTGCCTTCGACATTTCCTGTGAATACCACACTAAAAAAACACATTTTAAAATGCGTGTGAGTGTCCTAGGTGAGCACTTCCGGAAGCTGGTCATTAAAATGCAATTGTCTAATGAGCACTGATGTCATTGCTATACACTTGTGGAGAGCTAGTTGTAAACAGTGAGTGGTTCAACTGAGAAACCAGCTTCCTGTAGATTAATTGTGACAGTGATGTATGTAATATGTAAATAGAACTAATCAGAGATGCTGGCCATATAACCATGGGGCAAGCAGGAAATGAATACAGCTGAGAACTCTGCAGACTCACTTTCTTATTTTGACCTTTCAAAAGACTAAGTAAATGAATTTAGTTTAGCACAGATGTAAACATTTTCCACAGCAGCAGTTCTGCAGAAACTACAGAGATTCCCAAGCCTGCACCAAGCTTGAGTTTTCGTCACGGATGCCTTACAAAATTCTTTTGAGACCCCTGGCTGACAGGACCTACAGACCCCGAATGCAAAGCATTATGTTCCTGTTCTCAGTGATCCATATCTGAAGCAATGCAATTTTGTTTCCTTCCCTTTAAACAGCAGCAACAAAAGAGGGTTTTATAATGTGAAATATCTGTAGGCGTTATAATGCTTCTCTTCCACTGACTCTGAAGTATCCCACATACCAAGTTCCTCCACTAGGATGAATCTTCTAGGTGCACAACTAAAGAAATTCACTGAATTAGCAGACTGCAAGCTCCTCTACTTGAGATTTACAGTAAAACTATTTTCCTTTTGGTACTGCTTCCTGAAGCGAAAATGGTTTTTTATCTGAAGATAAACAAAACAACCATATGTTGGATCATATAATTATTAAATTGTAGGTCCAATTATGGTTTCCAGTAAGGAATAAACAACATAAATATTGAGGAGTGATAAATTGTTAAGAAGTTACTGAAGAGCAGAATTCTTTATTAAAGCCAAATTCATTCAAAACATGTAATTTTAATTTTCAACTCTTCAAATCCCTTTACAGGAAAAAGAAGGAGTAATACGGAAATACATCTTTACAGCCCATGCTCTTCAGTGAAGTTTCCATGCTTATTCTTCCCAGGACAGTAAAGAGACTGTGTTGCTTTTTTTTTCTTCCCACAAAGATGAATATTGCTTCCCTTCAGCAGAAACTAAAACAAACTTAACCCTACAAAAGCCATACTGGTAAAATTGGATTTGAATAAGAACAATGGTGGAGCTCGGTTGTGGAGGAGCCCTGGCAGTGCTAGAACGTGAGCATGGACATGAAGGAGGCAAAGTTTACACTTACCTGGCGAGTAACAAAAACAGCTTGAAGAGAGATGCGGCAGGATTACTAACAAAGGAGAACTCATTGTGCTCTAGTTCTTTGTGCTGAGCTGAACCACTCAATCAGGGCTTCACTGCTATTCAGCTGAATTGAAAGTCTGAATCTTTCAATGCTTACCTTTAAAAAAGAAATATGACATATTCAGTGTATAATACAATGTCCTTATTGCTAATGGTATCAGTCAATTGTGTCCTGTGATAGGACCTTATCAAACACTAACAGAAGCCAGTCAGACACTTCTTAACTGAAGAACAGGCCCAAAGAGATCAGGAGATCACCTCAAGGAACTTCCTGCACTTTGTGATCTATTCAGTTTTGCTGTTTTGTCACATAAAGATTGTTTTGAAAATACATATTCTATTCATCTAACTATGAAAGCTCCTGAAAAACGTATTTATTCTTTTCTTCAAGTAATAAATCATTAAGTCAATATTGCTCTCATTTTGATCTTGATTTGAAGCCTTAAAAATCACTAGTCTCCTTCCCAAAAGAATTGTGAATATGTTTCAGTGGTTAGAGAAATGGCTGGGAATCAGGACATTTGGTTCTCATCCCAAATTTCTTTAGAGCTTTCTAGGTCTCTAGTCATGTCATCAACATAATATTCTGGGTCTGGTTTTTCTGGCTTAAAATAACTTACTTATTTTTCTGTATCATCATCTTGCAGTATACAAATCGGCCCAGTATACAATAGGATATTTATAGGATCATTAATACTGTTGCTGTTAACTACTGTAGCCTGCAGTGCAAAACAGAAATACTTATTAGCACCAGCACCAGCGTTGACAAAACACAGACTGCCTTGGATGCAATTTGACTACTTCAGAGCCTGGATTTAATATTAGCTTTCTATTAATGGAAAAAAAGGGGGGGGGAGGGAGGGCAAAAAAAAGATATTGTTTGTAATTATTCTCTTCCTCCCCTGCCTGCTCCCCCCCGAAAAAAAACCCCGAAACTTTCCAAATGACTTCTCAGGAGATGCACAGCACATTGCTGCATTCCAGACTGATGCTGTTGTCACAGTGTAGTGCAGTAGTATTTCAAGCATCTAAGAGATAACACCTGTTGCTTTAGAGTCATTTAAGAGTGGACTGGACAAGCCATTCAGGCGTACGTTGGGGAGAGCCCATCGTTGGTGGGTGCTGAAAGAGATGACATAACAGGTCATTTCCATTTCCTATAAGTTACATGGTATAGTGGCAAGGCCACCATAATTCACTTCTGAGTGACGTTTCATGCTACAAATCTTTCTTAAGTCAGCTTATATGAACTATTGAGGCTACAACTAACAACATTTTTCAGGAACTGAAATCACCAGGTAATAAAATTATGGTAGATGAACACAGACAGTATTATATACATATAATAGGTAAAAAAAAAAGCTCACGTGACTACCACTGTTGCAGAAAAGTGAAATAAAATCATGCATTCTATATTTACTTATTGGTAAAAGGCAGAATATATATTATTAAAGACAGCTGTGGTTAAAGCCAGTTTAAAATAAGCAGGATGTGATATATAAGCCTACTCTGAAACTGCAAATGCAGTTTAAAACCATAACCCTGCTTCTTAAAGGTCTTTGGGTCACGAAAGGCAGTTTTGCACTGCGTATTTCCCATTCAGTCTGATTTAAAAATTTGTATCACACATGTAATACACGTGAGTTCTCTTTCTTTTTTTCTCACTTTAAAAAAAATCACAGTAGATAACATCTTTTTTGTTACGTTTCAGGAATTTGGAGTCTCAGCAGAGTATTTTTTTTAGTTCTTTTGAATATTAGTACCTCCCGTCCTCCTCAGCTCTGCAAGCCACAAGGAAAAGACCATGGTGGGACTCTCACTGGAACTTACCCGTGTTGCAGTAATTGTGCAGAACTGGACAAAATTGTGGGAAGGTGATGAGGTCATGTCTTCTCCCCAAGGCTCGGTGTCTTACCTGAATAATCAAAATGAGACTTTGGCATTAAAAAAAGGAGGACTATTTAATTCTTAATCAATTAACTACTGCATAATTTTAATCTTTTCCAGCCCTACATTCAGCTAACACTGAAGAGGTTTCCTTGGTAGATGTATTGTTCCTATGACATCTCCAACACAAATTGTACTTAAGAATGAGAAACTTAATTGACATCAAGCTTGTATGTGAAGAGGTAGTTTGTGCTGATCAGCCTAAAAAAATAAAACTTTTACATTATGCAAACTGAAATGAGAAATTTTTGGTTATTTACTGTCAAGATAAAAAATCACAAATTTTTGTGCTGAACTAAAGACTTTTTATGCTGGCTGGGAGATTGTAAATGAAAATAAAGCCACAGATATAAAAGATAAAGGAGGAGCTTTAAGTGGACAAACTTAAAATTAGAAGTAGATGCTCATAATTTCTGAAAAATGGTGCAAAAATTAAAATCTCCGCTTACAAAGTATCTGATCAACCACAGCTTCACCTGGCTTTTGCAGAAGACTCTGAGAAACCCCGAGTTTCAAGTTAGCATACTGTAGATAGAACTGATTTTGTGTCCAGCATATGGCACCTGAGGCTGTAGAGGGCAGTTTAAGGTCTGTTAGAAGTTCTTCTAAGAGCTTAAGACAACGTTGTATGTTATTTTATGCAAAATTATTCTCATTAAAGTTCATTTTAAAGAAACTACTGTACACTTCTCACAGGTGTTTGGGGGAAAATGATAGTGTCATCCTAAGTCTAGTAAAATACCAAGTTCCACCAGCAGAAACCCAGGCGTTGCTCTCTGCTGATAGCTGTGTTTGGATGGTCAACGGCCATTTTGCAAAGTTGCAATCTCACTTCCCTAAATGATGACTGTAAAACCAGAACTCTACTTAAAGTCCCAGATGCGTGCAGCTGCAGTGGCAGTGAAGGTGAGGAACCATCTTCCCACTACCTGCTCTGGAAACTGCTCAACAGCCAATTGGGGGCAACCCAGCCCGCTGCCGCCTGTGCGAGCCCTCCTGAGCACATCACTTACGCCAGATGCAACTGCTGTGAGGAAGTAAAAGAAACATTTTCTGAAACTGGGAAGCTTTTTTAGAGGAAGATGGAGAACCCACTTCTTTTATTCCCCCAGCTAAACATTTCTGCTTCAAAGGATAAATCCTATTACAAAGTCATGAAGTCAACAATTAAAGAAGAGGCACATAAAGCAAGCAAGCCAGGGTAAGTTTTAAGGTCATGCTGACGCTCTGAGTGTTCTGTTTACATAGAGGATTCTTCTAACACAGCTTGTGGGTATGAATTTAGGGCACAGATTGTTTTATTTTTGACTTATATGTGTGAAAACTCATGAACTGCAATCCTAGGAATTGCATACATAAAATATTAATTCATCGTGGAAATATTTTTTAAGAACAAGAACAAATAATAAACTAAGAAAATAGGAAAGGGAGGTTTCAAGAAGTTCTGAGAAATGCTTCTTTAAAGCCTGAATGTAATCCGGGAAAGTTTCTTTTTAAAAAGTTCAAACGACAGGAAGCAATACTTCCTTTTTCTTTGCAAAATATTAAAAGTAGAAGATGCTGAGCCTACTGTTTATGTTCTCTAATGTGATATTTCACCCCCTCATCTTTAAAATAAATGAAAAAGATCCTGAAAATGAAAAGATTTCCATTTCTCTTTGCCAGTGCTTCATATGTAAATTTGCACTAAGCTATAATAAAGAAGTCATTAATGTGAATAATATATGTAGGAGAAGTAACATCAACATTACTGTAAGTGAACATAGGGGGATCTATGATGCAGAAGCAGAGATATTAGTCAAAGGAAATGTTTCAGTGAAAAAAAAACGACTTTCAACAAGGTTTCTTGAAAAGCTACACTAATTCTGTTGTAGAGCTAAGCAGAAGAGAAATAGGCTGAGCCTTCTCCTGCAGAAATCTGAATTCCATGAAGGTGATCGTCTTGGTAAACCTGGAAACTTGACAAAAGCAGCAAGGTAAGCATTATAACAGACTGAGTCGATGGGGATTCCTTTCAGAAAGTGCCTGTGTGACTCAGAACGTTTCCTACATTTGTGTGTGTGCATTCAGACTTGGCAGAGAATAATGCTTTCAAGATCTATTTAATTTGAAAGTTAGCAATCTAACACAAGCATACAAACACTGTAGAATTATCTGGTATGCATCAAGGTAACTCACCACTAGTGTTTTCACACCACTAAGTGTAGACTGGTCCCCGTACACTTGCAGATACTTTTAAACCTTTACTCATGCCAACAGCATTTTTATTAGTCCACTGACTATATTGAGCAAGCATCAACTCAGAAACGTAGCTGACAAATGACTGCTTGCAGGGAAATCATACAGCTCCTTGGAAAGCAGGTTTTCCAAAGAGGTCTGTGATGTACAAATGCCAGATGCTTCTCAAATACTGAATGCATAGTTCCTCAGTAATTGCAGCAATTGTTTCAACGCTCTCGTCTCCAAAATTCAGATACTGATGTTTAAACACTGTTGTAATATTGTCCCTGTTATACTATTTCTTATAAAGATGCAGGGTAAAATCTTGGTTTTGTTGACTTCAATAAGAGTTTAATTCCTGAATTCAATGGGGTACCAAGATCTCACTGATATATTAAGAATTATATTTGTAGGTCTTGACTGAAAAGAAGGAATGCATAAAGTACTGCAACTCCATGGCCTAAAAAGTTGCTGCCCCTTTCTTTCCGTCACAGATTGCTTCAGAACACTTCAGTCCTTTCCATGCTCTCTTGTCTTGTTTAAGCAGTTACTATCTTTGGATCCAAGATGCCTGCTTTGACCAGAACTGATTCTACAAGCCCTTACTAATTGTGAACACCTTGTAGAAATTGCATAAAGGCTCAAACTCGCTCTCTTGAACCCGTGAAAAAGTGGCCAAGAAGTGGGTATCTAAACACTTGCACTTATGCATCTGGATGATTAGGCAATGTTTGTTGCTCACATGTCCAAATATCATGGCTATTCAAATGATGGCATGTGCTTATTATCTGGCAGACTTTCCAGTTCATGCCGGTGGGGAGTTTCATTACTTTCTTTTCTTCTCTCTCTTTCTTTCTTGTTTTACTGCTAGCAGAAGCCTTAATTCAGTGGTTTTACAGTTCACTCAGAAATACAGGACATTGCAATGATGAACAACGGTAAAACAGTGCTGAGAACACCCTTTTTCACTTTCTCATTTCCAGACATGAAAAAACATGCTAACATTACATCTAAAAAGAGAAAACACAGCCTCCATGCCACCTGTATGCAGACAGTATTGGGTGGCTGATCACCCCTGGATATTTCGTACAAAGTTCACAGCCATTAATGCATTTTTATAATCTGTGAAAAGGCACTTTCAGAGGCAGATACAACAGAAATAAATAATTCTCTGAAGAATTTCCCCCTTTTAACAGACTATCACTTCCTCACTCAGCCAACTGTCTTTTACCACGTTACTCTCAGCCAGGTGCCTGACTAACAGGGATTCTGCTGTTCTTGTTGTATAGAAGAGAAACTGGTACATATACATAGAGAGATGTAGATTATTTTTGGCAAAAATGAAAAAAAAAAGAAAATTACTGTTTTTCAAGTGATAAAGTGAGATAATAGTTTGAGATTTATTATTTAAGTCATTTACTTAATTTTTATGATTTCCATTCTTCACGCAGAGATACTGACTAACATAAGTAGAAAGAGAATTTAATGAAACACTGCAGATGGACTGTGATGACAGTGGAAATGCCTGTGACCTGTTAATTAGTTTCTTCTCATCTTTAGAAAATGGCAAAGCTGAACAAATCTTGGTTTCTGTCTATTATTGCAGCAACTCATTGCTGCACCCAGGACTTGGAGATCTGTGAGGCTACTGGGTTGATGCAGTTTCTGAAAGAAAACCAGAAATTCACACTAGGAGTTTCCAAACACAGCAAAGAACCTCTCCAGCGTTCCATGCAGTTCTGGACTGCGTATGTTGTCTGAAGTCATCAGGGTTTATCTTTCACTATGACCAAATTAATTTCTGTAGCTATAGGAACCCTCTGTTCCCAGACTTACAAGTCCACACAGTTCAGAGAACTGTACTTTTTGTACTTCTCATAACTAAAAAACTGTAAGGGAGTGAGGTCTCATTTTCCCTGACTCCAGAATCCCCCTGCTTTACTGGCCTATGCTCATTTCTTGAATTTCAGTCCCCCCGGCATTTGTACCTCTAAAGAACTGTTTGTCTCTCCCTAGTTAAAAATTTCATTCCTATAAGCAATGACTTCAGCTAGGAGACATGTGACACCTATTAAAATAATTAAAAAAAAAATCCTCCTTTTATTTTTGTTCAAAAGCAAGATCGTTCCTTCCCAAAGTGATTGGAATTTCCTTTCATCTAAACTTCACGTGCCTACAGGTTTTGCAAGGGAACCCAAACTACGTGAATCAGGCAACAGAACAGCAAGCCTCCGCGAGGAAGGGGGAATCGTGTTCAAGAAGTGTTCAGTCCATAAAAAGTTGTTCTAACCCACTTACCCTGGACAAGTTGCTTATTGATACTTTCAGTGTACTGTGCTTTTATCCTTGAATGAAAATGGTTCAAATATCAATATTCATAAAGCACCTGATATAAATTGACTTCACCTTCAGGGTTGGAACTTAAGTCCTAGTCCTAGCATGATACAGTTCATCTCCGGGCTTACTCCAGTTCTGGTCTATTAAAAATCAAAGTACTGTCCAGGTGTGCGTTCAGGGTTAATCTATACAAAACCAAAGAAGGGTTTCTCCAAAATTGTATTTGTGTGAATGAAGTAGGGTGTTCTTTTTGCCTTTCTGCATTATCCTCTAAGGCAGAATATTTGAAATCAAAGTAAAATATGTGCAATTTGACATATTTCATGAAGAATACGTGGAGTTTTATAAACAAAGCACAGTCTCTCAGAATAACATGACATTTGAAATATGTTTGTGGTAAACAAACCAGGCTACGCGTGCTATTACCCTATAAGACTGTTACCTAAACCATATTGCTACAACTTTGTCTTCAGGCTATAGAATTTCCTGTATTTCATTAAAAGTAGACTGTGGTAACACAGCCTCAGACCGAATGCATTCAAAACCACATCTCTGCGAGAGTACGTTTTAAGTTTAAATAGGTGACTGACCTGGTTCCCTTATGAGTTTTACCATACTGCATGATCTCAATTCCCTTAAAGATGAGCAGTGCAACGCAAACACCGAAGAGAAAAATCTCTGCTCTGATGTTTTTTTAAAGAGGGGAAAAAAGTACAACTCTGCAGGAAAAATGTCAGAAAAAAATTAAACCAAATGCTTCTGAAGTCCCTAGGAGAATGAGCTCCTTCAGTAACGTGATCTAATCAAAGGCTTTGTGAAACAGTCCTGAGCAATAATGGTAACAGATAACATGTTACAACAGTTTCATAAATACACAATATGCACAATTCTTCAAAACCACTTTCTGTTTCTTAAGCAGTGTGTCTCCTGAAGAAGCAGTGAAATGGGGAGAATCTTTTGACAAACTGCTTTCTGAGAAAGGTTAGTAGTTTTTTGCTCTGTGCAAACTGTTAGGATGGAAAATCGATGGAAAATGATGGAAAATTATAAAATCCAGTTGTGCACTTAAATAGACCTGCCAGTTACCTAAACTGGTATGATGGGTCATTTATAGCAGCATGTGTATCTGCTCTCCTCATGTGCTTAGGCTATAGCATGCTGTCAACTACTGAAAATAGTTGAATGACCAGAACATTCCCTTCTGTATTTCATATTTTATTGAACAAAGTAATATAACAGACAGCAAGGAGTTCCTTCAATAAACAGTAGAATTTCATTTGAACGTTGCTCAAATATTCCTGACTGCAAGACCAAACCTTAAAAATGAAAACATGTTCTATGTACTTAAGAAAAGACTTTGTCACTTCTGGTACAGTTTGTTTCCAAAACAGTGATAGGAACAAAACTGGGCATCATTTGAAAGGGCTTGTTGCTTACATAATTATCAAATGCACATATGTCCCTCCTTGCATTTTGGAAGAACACACGTATGATCCAGCTACAGTGCTGGACACTATGTGCTTTTCAGATCTGTGCGTTGAACAGTTGACATCAATACGATTGCATTACTTCCACAGATTAAGCGTATTTGGGAAAGACAGTATCTTCAGTATAACAGCAATAGGATACAGCAAATTGTAAAGATGCTAAAAGCCATTCATTTTAAATTGTTACTGGAGAACAACCTATTTGTGAGCAAAGATTCAAATAGTGTTTCGGTTAGCCTAAATTGATATTCAGCTGGAAAAAAGTCCATCACTTCCACATACATCCGCATGTTTTGATTGCTTCCATTTCTAAATTCATGAGATCTTGGTAGTGGATTTTTTACATATGCTGAGAATTCTGTAATGGGAATTACAGAACTCAGGATCATAATAAAAGAACTGCACTTATTTGAAAACCTTTATGTATTTTAAAATAATTATCTATAATGTGATGTAATTCAAAGGGAGCACAACCTGTTTTGTTACCTTGCACAGACTGTGTGAAAAGCGTAACTATCTGGTAAGGATATATTTTTTTAATGCAATTCAACATTCCCTTCTGTAGCTGGATTGGATGCCTTTACGAAGTTTCTGAAAACTGAGTTCAGTGAGGAGAACATTGAGTTCTGGATAGCTTGCGAGGATTACAAGAAAAGCAAAACTGCACATGAACTTTTGCCAAAAGCTAAGACCATTTATGAAACATTCATACAGAAAGATGCTCCAAAAGAGGTACGGTAAAAACGTTCTTTGTTGTACACAGTATTTGACACAACTGCATCCGATGAAATCTGCTTTTAAGAAGTGCGTGCCCAGAAGCAGGGGCACCAGTTAATCACGCAGTTGCTGACGTAAGAAGGCTTAAGTGTCAAAGCTCTGGAAGGAAATCTGGAAGCAACTGCATAGATTATTCTTCTCACTGTCCTCCATACTCCTTTCAATACCCCCTCTATGTTACTCTTCTAAGTGTAGAGCATGAGTTTAAGTAAGTATTGTATCATAGGAATCAGAGATTCGTAGTGGTCTGTAAAGCCAGGAGATATATATGTACATATACAGGGTATATTTAAGAAAAAATAGTGATGTTAAATGTTAAAGCTGCAATGAGACATACCAGTTAGCATTTGTGAAAAAGTATTCTCTGTCTTTATTTAAAGCTACCTCCAGAACAACAGATTTATTCTCTCTTTCTCTTAAACCAATAATTATCTATTAAATTATTACATAACTGAGATTCAGAAGCTTTTCAAGTACGCCAAAAGACTAAAAGAGAATAGAAGAAACTATTAAATTAAACATATCCTTAAAAATAATAATTATGTTTTAAGCAGGGACTTTTCTTGATTGACCCTTCCCCCCTTTCCACTCCCCAGCTCTAATTGTGTATTCTTGTTATGTTACTGTCAGCAAATACACAAAAATATGTTGATATGTCAGTCCTCACCAACACTTTTTATATTACGATAATAGTGCAAAAAGTTTTCATATTTACAATTTCTTCATGTTACTGAAGCGTGTTATAAAGGATTCATAAATGAGCAAAAGGAGTATTTTTTGCCTGCTTTGGGAAGGAGATGAACAGGTTGGGAGATGATGAACTCTCACCGAAATCACAGTCACCCTCTTCAATAGGTCTTTTGGACTTAAAATTTCCTGTAATTCTATCAAGTTTGAGCAGATCAAATACGTCACTTGCCAATGCTCCTTTCCCCGTATGCTTTTTTTTTATTTGTCAGAATAGCAAAAGTTAAACACTAACTACTACTTCCCTGTAAGAAGGGTGAAAAAGGTGTAATTCTCATTTTAAAAGAAGGATTGCAAAATGGTGCAATTTCCACCTGTAATTCCCATAGATTATATTTAAGATTCAGATCTGCTTTTCCTAGGAAATGTCCACTTTCAAAGACTTATGTCCCTTTTTATTTCTTTCCCTGCTGCATGCCTTTGGGGTGGACCTTACATAAAAAGACCCCCCCTGACTTGTTTGAGGTAGAACATGTCATTGCCAATTGATCAGTCTATGAGATGGTAGGGCATCAAGTGCTGACGCTGTCAGCGCTATTGACATTGACTTAAGCGAAAAGATGAGCAGGAGGAAAGCTAGGGAGGGGACAGGGTGTGGAAGTTGTATTTTGACTGACAGTAACGTAACGATTTCTTTATCTGTCATAATTTTGATTTGGTGCACATAGTGTGGGTGCTGTTGTTCACCTTAAGCCGTTGGCTTTGGTGAGACTTCCTTCCTTGGGTTCAGCTGAGCAGCTGAGACCAGCCAACAGCATCTCATTTCAGACCACGCAGCTCTGGAACGTGCATCTTCTCTCTGACTAACTTCTTGTCCAGCAAAGCTCTTTTACACACAAATTTCTGAGCGTACAGTTTGATAGGATCATAAAATCTTAGGTTTGATGAGTGGACTATTTTATCATCATTAATTGCCCTTCAGTTCTTAGATCTAAACTATTTGTTTTAACTAGCTTTATGGAGATGACAGATGTATCTCAGTGAGGAAGAAAAAAAGGCATATTATATACTTTTTGACTGGATCAACAATTTTTGTATATATTCTATCTTATTTTTCAAAATAGCATGCTTGTATCAGTGCCTGACACTTTAATAAAATTCTCATACTAATTAAATCTTCCCAGGATGGATGCAACGGCACATGGAATAAATGATCATTTTGATATGCTCTTCCCATCTAAAGCCTCCAGAAACCCATTAAAATAATTTTTATATTTTAGATTTTCTCACCTTCCTACTACCAAAACTCTACACAGAAACCAGAAATTTTAAATATTCACTAACATAGTCCAATGAGACAAAATTCTACATGAATCCTAGATGAGAATGGAGGGAGTTCTGTGTTAGTCTGGTGTTGCAAAGCCTGACAGCTGCAACTATACGAAGATCACTATTAGAAAGTTACTTTTAGTCAAACATCAGACTTCATTTTCTGTTTTACCAGTTTTCCATTGTACCAATGACACATCTGTAAAGACTTTCTGACAGCCATTACTGAACGTGAACATACTAACTAGTTCTATGGTATCAGGGGTTCAAGGTCCTTTTGTATCAGGGGTTCAAGGTCCTCTTACCAGAAAAGATGTTCACCAAAGTACAGTATCATTGCTATGGATAATAACACAGGAAATGCATGAATGTACATTAAAGAAATACACTTTTCCTCATTCTCCAGGTAAACTTGGACTTTCAAACCAAAGAAGTCACAAGTCAGAATATTGAACAGCCCATCATCACCACCTTTGATGCAGCACAAAACACAGTCTACAGGCTGATGGAGCAAGACAGCTATCCACGCTTCCTAAGATCTGATCCTTATTTAAATTTGGTTAAGGGGAGAAATCCCAGTCGTCCCACCCTTAGGAGACGATCACGGTCTTTTACTGTCAATGATTTCCAGGGTGTACGACCAGACTTTACTGTTTGGTAACAGTGAAACTCAACCTTCATAAATTCTAGCTACTGCAGTAACCTGTATGTGTTTTAAAATCCAAATCCTTAGCAGGTGTAAATGAGTGGAAAGCAAAGTTACGGGCACTTATACCAGGTCAGAGTTCTGTAGCCGGTGATTAATCTCATTTATTATAGAGAAGTAGGCAACATATTGGCAAGACATACCATGCAAAGTTTTCATACAGTTTTTTTTTTAAACTCAAGCAAGAGCTGTAATCGTATTTGGAGGAAAAATTTGAGTTTCCTGCATAAAAATGTTGTATAAGATGCCATTTGGTAATATCCACCATGTATCCTGGGCCTGTATTATTTAGGACAGAGTTTCATCACAGTTAGAATCTTTGTACCTAGCCTTTGCACATATTTATGTTTCTGCAATATTTCCTACACTAAGCGCGGCGTATTTGTGGTATTTTCTCATACCGCAAAACACATAGGAACATTATTAGGTATAATGTAAAGTTACATGGATTTTAACTACAGCCACTGCATAATTAAAATTTAGCTATTGCATACTTTAAGAGCAAGATAAGAATACCTATTTAATTTTCAGGGGTACATTTTATACTGTTTTCTTATTACACGTGTCTGTTCTCTATATTTAAGTTATGCTGTATAGATTAGCTTTGCCATCAAATACCTGTATTCTAATTTTTTGCAACCAAATGAGCAGCAACAAAGGGCCAAGAATGCTATTTTAACACAATGTGTGTCATTAAATATCAGGTCATGTGTATGTGTGTGTGTATATATATAAAAAATTTTCTACTTTTATTTGTAAATATTCACAGTATACCAACGTTGTTACTAAACTTTGTTATAAATTTTTTCTGCCTTTTGTTTTGAAAAAGAATCTGAAAATTAACAGCTTTTGGACTCAGGTAGAATAACCTTCAGTTCTACCGGTCATTAATATACTCTCTATGGTTGTAGAGGAGGAAGGACAAATCTTCCCTTTTATTTCTTTGCTATTGAAGTCACGCATATCTTTTTTATAGTCAGTATACACAGTTATCCTGTCCTTTTCTTTCAGAATTGATGCAGACATACCTTGAAGCATGGGGAAATTCTTAAAAATCTTAAGCATTGGTTCAGTTTAGCAAGTGGCTGCAGGATTTAGTTGTAACTTGTATATTCAGTCGCTTTGCATGGAATTTAAGCTTTCTCCCTTTTCCTCCCTTTTCTGTGAGCGGTCAAAGTGAAGAGGTGCAGTTCCTGAGGATAGGACTTTATGTTCATTACTAATTCAGGATATGTATGAACTGCTTGATCTGAGGGTTTCCGTGTCTGCTTTACTAACTTTCAATAAATCTGAAGTGATCTACTTAAAAAGTTGTCAGGATTCAGTTTATCACTAGTACATTGATGAGTAAAACGTGAAGACTTCACTTCACTTACAATTTAATGCTAGCTGTAATCATTACCACTTCGATCAAAAGTGTTACTGTGCAGAGACACCCGAACTCACCAGGAGCCGCAGTGACCTGGAACCATCTCCAAGCTCTTAGCGTTACCTGGGGGTAGACAGGAAGCACGTCTGTAACTATGAGGCGTATGATCCTTGCTGGTTTATTCCGTTATCCTTTCCCGATCCCAGAACTCCAGGCACATGCTATTTCTAACTGTGTAAGCAGTCAGAACCTGGGCACAGTGATTCAGGAATAAATCAAATGGTTTTAGCAGCGCTGATACTGTATTTCAGTGTCTTTATCAATACCAAATGCAGCTTTGGAGCTTGTCAGCCTCCGTTTTTTACAAACTGTCTACACTCCTGTTGTCATTGTCACAGGTGTCACATGAATGAGTGAATGCAGTGAAAGGCAACTTTCTAACCCAATTTCATTGCTGAAGTCAGTATATTTTTCTGGATAGATTATTTACCCTTGCTCTTTGACTGTCTGTCCCTTAAACATGAATCAATTCTACCAGAGACGATCCTCTTTCTGATGAGGGAATCTCTAATATCACCTATCTGTCTGGATGCCAGAGTTCTCAGATATTTAAAACGTGCATGTTCCTATGTTTTGTATTACTAACTTTGTTAGAGAAAGAGAACAGACCCACCTGAGCGTTAACAGTGGGTCTGTTGCAACACAGGCATAAGACCTACACATTTGCAGCTAGATTCGCCCTGGTGTGATTATGTTCCTTCATACCAGCTGAGAACCCGCACCTTTACTCTTGCCGTGGATGAAATAAATGAAAGAAAAATGTGTATTTAATACTGTTCCAAAATCCAAACAAATGACAAATATAGTACCTTGAGTAAGACACTTTCTTCTTAGCAAAAAACCAGCTGTTAGTCAAAAGGGTCTGTAATGATAAACACAAATCAGCAGGCGCCCTTTGTTTCATTTCTCAGACACATGGAAAATTTTTCTTATCTCCAGGGAGGCCTTCCGCAAAACCATCAGTCTGTGGTACTGACAGTGCTAGTCCCTCTTACGAGTTTTATAATGAAAACAAACAAATAAGATATTCCTGGTAGCTATTTATGCATGTGTGTTTTTCAAAGATAATTATGAACCGTAGCCGAGTTTACAGCAGACTAATGCCATGGGAACTACTGTTAGAAGAAAGTCAAGATAAATTCAGAGAAAGGAAGGCAAAGGGCACAAAGATAAACTAAAATGACATAACTATCTGGCAAAGGGTTTTTTCTAGAAGAGGCTCCTTTTAGTGAGAGAAAATGAGTGCTCCGCTATTTAGTGCTTTACTGTAATTCTGGAAGATGAACTAAACATAGATTTAGTACAAGTCTGTGATGCTGTTCCAGGACTGAGTTAGACAGCATTGATCAGGGTGAGGGCTAGCCCTGCACAGATGTATTTATAGTATGAACCTTAGAGTAGTGCCAGAGAACATAGTTGGGCTTCTCTAGTTTTGGCAGAATCAATGCCATAGTTATGTAAATCCTCTTGTTTAGCTGACCTAGTGCAAATAATACATACACAAAGCTATTGGGCAAGTATTTTTATTGGGGATTATTTTATGTAGCAGCTTTTTAGGTTTGTATGTGCCATTCAGCATTCAGTAAGAGCTTTCAAAATACTCCTCTTACCAACATAACAGTTTACCCTACATAAACACTCCTTACATACGCGAGGTCTCCAGACCCAAAGTATGAGGGAAATAATCTGCTGACTTGTATAGCGCAAAGGTTCGTCTCCTGTTTCAATACTTAGGTCTAATTAGATGCTTTAAATGAGCTGAATTATTATCTGCTGTTCTTGTTTAACTTGAGGGAGATGGAAATACACATATCTTCTTTGGCTTTTGGGATTTCTTATTGTGCAAAAGACAACTTGATTAATTTTTGAACTGACAAGAAACAAGAGGAATGAAATCTAAGATAAAGAACCTCAAAGCAAAAGATAGATCTTCCACTGAAGTAGGCGATCGGTAATATGGCTCTTACATGCCTTTAAATGCTACAACTTATAAGTGACTCACAAAAGATCATTTTTCTCTCCTTTTTGTCCCCAGCTGCTCAGCCTGCCATAATTAACTACTGCTTTGAATGCAGTTCCCTCTCCTTTCCACGCACACTGTCAAAAGACCTCAACTGAGAAAAAAAATAGCATAAAATCATCTTCCTCTCTTCGGTGATTCATATGCTCATACACTTATGCCTTGCTCAGATGCCTGTCCTAGATCCTGCTCTGTTTTTTGCATTTTAGTCAAATGCCTCAATCAAATGCCCTTTAAACTCCTGTGTGGCTCTGGGCCAAAGACAAAAATACATTTCCTCTCTCCACCATCCAGCTTGTTTCCATTCCTACTTTTTTCTTGCTAATGTCTTGTTGTCATCTTCCATTTCTTGTACTCAGATCATTTAGGGCTGGTCTCATAAAAGCTCCCTCTGGTTTTATACCAAAGCTTTTTCCTCTCCTTTCCTAAATGGCATCTCTTTGCGTAACCTCCTCCTGAGTCTCCTTACAAGAGATTATCTAGACGTCAAGATTTACAATCTAGCCTCTATCGTTGCCTTCTCTATGAAACGTAGCTAAAATTAACTAGCATGAAATACAATCCTATGGCAGTCAATTTAGAGTTTTCAAACAGGACAGAAGATTAAGATGAAGCCTAACTTAAGGACAACCCTGAACTGTTGTTTCTTCACCATGCAATTTGCTTGTATTTTAGAAACTCTCCTTTCTTCCCAACTTCCCAAACTCGTTTTAAATTTCTGCAGTTAACGCTACTCCAGTTTTTCCTTAAGGAAGAGCAGACTTCTAAGGATTAAATTCTGATGTGGACTGTACCCCTGCGGGGGACTCAGTAGGAGCTCTCCTACATCATACACATACTTTGCCCAGATTACTTGGGAATGGGCACACTGGAGAAGTCAGCATCCAGTAGGCATTTACAAAAAGAGGTAACCAAGAATATTGGTATATTGGTTTTCCCTTTCATTCATTCCTAGCATGGCTTGGCTTAGGACAGACCATGCACAAGGCACTGCTCAAGAGACAACTGAAAAGGGGAATTATGGTTCAAGGGCTTTCTGAGGCATAATGCCTACCTTTCGTATATTCTTGCAGTGCTGCAATTTATACCTGTTTCCAAACACAAGGTCATAGTATGATCCTATATGTTTGTGCTATGTAGGCTTCTTGGATGAAGTTCTGTGAAGTCTGATGCTATGTAAATAACAATGTATTCACCCAGGACACAAGCTGTGCCAAATAATCTGCTAGTTAGTACTATTGAGTATCTTCAAGGTTGCATATTCTCTTGAGAATTGTTTCCAGTTCTCTTCTAATGTAGGTTTGTGTTTGTATAGTATTTGGAAATCCTGTTTATGAGGAGCCCAGAATGCTGTAAAACATTTTGACAGATTGTTCGTGAAATCAAAACATTTTACCTGAAGGGCATACTTTGCTTGGTTGGAAAATAACAACTCATTTTCATATACAAAACAACTCTGTGGCATACTAAAGACACACAGAGTTATTCAGATGGGAAAAAAAATATTTTTGTGAGTTGACCGTGCTGTGCAGTGCTATTGGAAGGTAGGCATTTACATAGTGCTGTGATTAAAATGTATTTGCATCCCGTATGACAGGCGTTTCCATGTTACTAGGATGCCAGGAGTGCTCAGATAATCTTGGCTTCTCCCAACTTAAGAAATA